ATGACATCTTTTCACAGTTTGTTATTTTATTTTGTGAACTCCTACATTTTGCAGAGGTTTGAGAGGAGGCATGAGGCCATCTTACTTGACATGGTTACGATGGAGCTGTTGGACATAGGTAGGGAAAGTAACCTTCCTAGCTTGATAATTCAACATATGGAAAGGTTTGTAGACACTACTAAGCCCAAGCATGCTATGCCTTATGGCTTCACGTTAACTGAGTTGTTTGACATGCTCAATATCTCATTGCCTAAACTGAATTTTGGCAATCACAATGATGTTCTAGATGTTGTCATGCTCAAGCAGTGTGGCTATGCTAAGATCAAGGGTAGAGGTCCAACTGGTTCTGCTATTTTTCCTGGGAGCTACAGGGCTGTTGAACTCTCTAATAAGTTGGAGCTGGATTTGGAAGAAAATGCTAAGCTCAGGGAGGAAAATGATGAATTGCAGAATTAAATCAGGCAACTTAGGGAGGAGCTGAGAAAATACAGAGATGCTCATGTACACAAGATTGCTACTAATGTGAAGGCCTTGACCTCCTCTACCTCTCTCCCTTGCTATTGGTGCTTAACCCATTGTCTTATGTCCATTTCTAGTTTGCTCATTGATGCTTTGTCTTTTGTTTTTATTGTCTAGTTCTGATTAGTATGCAACAAGTTTTAATTTATTTTATTTTAATATTTTAAATCAAGGCCCTAGGCTTAATTTGACACTCCTTAATAAATTTTGTTATGTTGTTTCCCTGCTTCTCACGTAATCTATATCAATAGCATAGTTCATTTGTTTTGATTCTTCTGGTATTTGTATTGTATCCTAAATGGCCATGAATCGTGCACTAACTGGTTGCAAAGTATATCTCAGAAGTGTTTCCTTTTTTTTTCTCGATGATGCCAAAAGGGAGAAGATAGAGGGGGAGATATGCTTGTTCTACTCAAAATTGTTGTTCTCAACAACTGTGATGTTGTGTACATGTTTAAAAATGATATTACTTGGTTCGTGAGTATAAAGTTTGTCATCATTAGAAAGGGAGAATTTGTTGAGAATTGAGTTTTGATGATTAATAATTGTGTCCAGTGAACGTGTGCTAAGAACCAAGTTCTTAGAGTAGCTGCTGAAGGTTTTTACAAGGCAGTAACTTTTATACAAAGTTACTGCGGATCGATATTGCTAGAAAGGACTCTTGATGTGATAAGGACCGATGCCCAAGAATATGTGTCTGCATTTCTATAGAGTCACAAGATTCATGGAGTCCTTAGACTTCAGGATTGCAAGCAAACGAGATTTTGATTGTATGTAGGACTCCCATATATCTTAGAGTACTGGGAAGTTAAATACTTTCACTATGGACTGTGAAGGACATACTCTTGCACATCAACAGAAGAACGCAACATAGCATTTTCAGGTCAACACTCAATTCTATCATTAGTGTGTTTTGAAATTCATTTTTCTCGAGTCTATTTAGTTCATGTGTATTAGAAGATTGAGTTGTAATCAAGATGTTATTTAAAACATGTTAGTTGGAGTATTGTTTCAGTGTGCAAGTTAGAGTATCTTGTAATTAATACAAGAAGTAAAAGTAGGAGAAGTGTGTGGGTATTGATTTACAAGTTTTGTAATCAATATATTTGGCTGATTTGTCCGAGTGAAGTTGACGATAAAATCTTATATGGTAGGTCATGGTATTTACACCTTTGAGCTGCGAGATTTTTCACGTAAAAAATTATTGTTCTTGTTTTACTGTTTATTTCATTTATGCGTAAGGAGTAAGAAAAAGAACCAAGTTATTTAGTGATCTAGGAAGGCACTCAAAAAATAATAGAAATATGAGAATACACTATAACTACAGGTATAATAAAGCAATATAGGCATGAAAAAGAATTATGCTCGACTACTCACTAACCTACCCTAATTCTCGACTTTCACACCCTCCTATCAAGGGTCATATCCTCGGTAAATTAAAGATATGTCATGCTCTGCCTAATTACCTCTCCCCAATACTTCTTTATCCTACCTTTACCTCTCCTTACCCCTACCATAGCCAACCTCTCACATTTTAATTTTTTTTTGATGAAGCATTAGTTTCATTTATTTTTCCTTGTACTAAATTTCTATTTCCCCACCCACCTTTGTTCTTTTATCTTTATCCCCCAATTTTTCAAGTTCTTGTTGGTTGACTTTCATCCTTTCATGTAGGCTTGTTAAATCTTACCATTAAATTAACAATATGATAAATTTAGAGCATGTTAATCATGATAAATAATTTCCCTTCATGTTATAAATAAAGGCTTTTTAAATTATACAATTAATGAAATCTAGGTTAAGAAATGGCAGTGGGGCAGTGCGAGATGGCTGTGAGGCGGATTTAGCCTAAACCCATATTGACTCAACCCGCAATTGCCCCGCCCCGCATAATAAAAATTCTTTATTTTCAGTCTGCCCCGTATAAACCTGTCCTGTTTTTTTTTTGGTTGACCGCTAGGCAAGAGCCTAGGGCTAGTTTTTATATATATAATTCAAAAATCCAAATTTAAATACAAAGTCGGGAGGTCTTAGACGATGAAAGAAATAAACATTGTTGATTACATAGATCCTATTACCAAAATTGAGCAATGAACTCAAAATTGATATTACATTATGCATAACTAAACTTTGTAATTATTAAAAGTAGCCCAAGTGAGTCCATGTCCACGTTGTATCTCTAGTCTATAACGTCCAGCCCATGTCCATGTTGCATGTCCAAATTTCTTCAGCCCAATACCAGTACATAAATTGTTTGCATGCATATCCGACGTCCAGCTTTCCAAATGTAACCCCATTTCCTTGTTCATTCTCGCCCATTAAACATACCAAAAATTAGTCATGATGCCTCCAAACGGCCATGACCATACTTCTGTGTATGTTTTTAACCAGGTGTGCATTAAGCAAGGATAATTTAATTCCCATTGTTTCTTTTACCAAGGAGCATGCTTGGAATTTAAAAATCTTCCTTGGATAGAAAATCACGTGAGCTTTCTTTGCCAATTTTAAAAGCATTAGCTCCTCCTTCCAATGTCCATTGGTATAGTCGATGCAGTACACTTTCTTTATTGTAATTATGGCTTTTTCAATTTGTCCAACTTTCATGACTACACCATTGTTAAATTATTGGCATTTATACCCACGCTTTATCCTTGAGTTCTGCAGATAAATACACAAAAGTGTGAATTTAAAATTCAATACCAGTTGTGTCTTGAACTCGGCAGATTTAAAGTGCAGTAGGCGTGCGTTTGAGAAGCGTGCCACATTGAATCTATGCGTGAATCCAGATTTTTGTTGTATTAAATATTGCCTCCAGTGGTCCATTCCTATTGAACTGTGCACCCCCAATACAATATTTAATACCACAAAATTGTTATATACCATCCCATGCGTCATTTTTCCGTGCATATGTGACAACTTTAAACCTTTGCCCATTTCTCCCCTGTTTTCCATGCATGTGTGTTTCTTTGGGCAGTNTACCATCCCATGCGTCATTTTTCCGTGCATGTGTGACAACTTTAAACCTTTGCCCATTTCTCCCCTGTTTTCCGTGCATGTGTGTTTCTTTGGGCATTGCATTATCACCTTATGTTGTCGAGCTATAGGTCTCCATATGTTTGTCTTGAATTTCCCATCTTCAGTCCACACCTTGTCTTGCATGATTATGATAATGATACCAACCATCACATTTTTTATTGTTCTTTTGTGGTACCATTTCTCTATGCTCTGTCTTAGCGTGCTTTCCAGGTCTCCCTTTCTCGAAATCACGCCATCCCTTAGATACATTTGAGTTTTATTCAAACCAGCATAGCATCTCAAACAACTTCTCATAGCAAAATCACGCTCCCAGACAGGCGTGCACTGTTGACCACAAAAGTTGTCTCCAAATCTCCTTTTGTCTAGAAGTTCATCTCTCCTTTCCCATGTGACATTGTGCTCACTTATTGCATTATCTATTTGGGGTAGCATTCCACTCCAGACTTCTTCTTTCTCCTCTTCCGGTTGCTTATCTTTTGTTCGAGAGAGCCATTTCTCTTCTTGATCTGCCTCAAGAAATGGTCGATCAAATTCCTCCAAAGTTCCAGCAATTCCCTTTGATGTAATTGCCTGCCTTGAAATGATCTTTGTACATATGCCAAAGCCCACCTTTAATGTCCTCCCAGTGGATTGAATGCAAGGCATTAATACCACCACTTGAGATTCTACTATAACATAAGGCTTTAGCATCAATGAGATACCTGCAAAAAAGTAAACAATGTTAGCTGAAAAATTGCTAACCAATCTCTCCTTAAGAATGATTCGAGTCCGATAGCAAATTGTAGTCTATTTTCTTCCTAATTCCTTGCAACCTTCACTCTTATGTAAGGACATTGCATCTTGTCTTCATTAATAATCCTCCTTCCTTTTGAGTCCATATCCCAGAAGCCATGACATTCAATATTTCCTTCATCTAGAGCATAATTGGCAAGGTGGTCTGCTAATGTATTCCCTTCTCTGAGTATGTGTGTGACCTTGATGATACTTTGTTCCTTCAATCTTAAAATCTCCTCAACATGATTAGTAATACACCAAGGAGGCTTCCATGATTCTTCTATAATGTTCTTTAATAGCAAGGAATCTGTCTGCAGCCATATCTGAAAATAATTAAGATTTTTGCACATCTTCAAAGCCTCCACAATAGCTACTGCTTCTGATTCATTATTGGTTCCTTCAGAAATCTCCCTTCCTTCTGCATATATCAAATCACCTACCTCATCCCTTATGCAGAAACCAATTGAACTCCTCCCTAGGTTCCCTCTACATGCTCCATCCGTATTTACTTTGATCCACCCTCTTGGAGGAAATTCCCATAACACCTTTTCATATTTCAATCGAGGTGTGTATTGCTCCAACATTGTCAGTAAGTCCAGCCACTTGTGAGGCACATACAGTCCAGGCTTTTTTAGTTGGACTAGAGCTTGCAGAGTAGATGACACCTGGTAAATAACTCTGCTCACTGATACTGCTTCTCCATATTTCAAACTGTTTCTTCTCTTCCAAAGTTCTCATACAATGCATGCAGGTAAAGCTTGTAAGACTGGCTTCAATCTGGGAACAACTGGTGCTGTCCAATACTTTGTAATTGCTTGTTGTAATGATAACCCTTCTAATGCAATTCCTGCTCTCCTCAGGAAGTAATTCCAAACACTCCTAGCTGCATTGGATGTGAAGAACAAATGTACTAATGACTCCTCCTTAGGATCAGCACAGCACCAACATTTTGATGGCATGGAGTATCCTATTTTACGCAAGAAATCATCAAATGGCAGTTTGGCTTTCCACACCTTCCAAATGAAGAAGGATATCTTGAAAGGTAAGCCTTTGACCCATATCATCCTGTAACCTAAGCTTGGGTTGTCTCTTCTTCGCCGGTAATCCCATGCAGAATTCACTGAAAAATGACCTCTTATTTCAATCATCCAGAATGGTGTATCTAACTCTGCACATTCGTTTGGTGGTCTAATATTCTGCACAATGTGGTTTGCCAAATCTTCAGGTAGAGTCTGAAATATTTTTTCCAAGTTCCACATACCATTTTCAACCAGATCATTGACATTGTGAATATCCTCATCGATACCAAACTCTGCAGGCACTTGGAAATATAAGGCTCCCAGCTCAGTCCAATTGTCGAACCATAATTGAGCTGATCCCATTCTCGGTTTCCAGTATATTTGATGCTCAATCAAGTCCCTACATTCTAGCATTTTTCTCCACACGCGGGATCCACGCTTCTAAGGTACAATTACTGGATTTAGTTTCTTGCAGTACTTTTGACTAATAAATGCACTCCATAAACTGGGTTTTGTCCTGAAATTCCACCACAATTTACAGAATAGTGCCTTGGATACATCATATAGGGACCTGAAGCCTATGCCTCCCTCCTCATAAGGCATGCAAAGGTTAGTCCACGATGATCAATGTCTAGAGTTGCCTCCCACATTGCTGCTCTAGAAGAATATTGCAAAAATGCTATGTAATTTATTGATCATATAAATTGGTGGATTAACTGCTGACAACATATGAATTGGGATACTCTGTATGACATTTGCGATCAATACAGCTCTGCCTCCTACAGATAGGAGTTTGCCTTTCCACGACAGCAGTTTGTCCATGACCTTAGTGATTGATCCCTGGTAATAGTCACTCCTTCTTCTTGCATAAAAAATAGGGCAGCCAAGATAGGTCATAGGGAAATATTGTCTTCCTATACCTGTAATCCTTTCAACCTTGTTAATCACCTCATTATCCGTTAAATGATGCAGGTATATGGCAGATTTGGCTTTGTTCACCAGTTGATCAGACGATGATTCATAAGCTTGCAAAACCTCCATGACAAGTCTCAGTGAAGTTTCATCAGATGAGGAGAAAATGATTGTATCATCAATGTATGAGAGATGATTTATTTTTGGGCTCCATTTTGGCATTCCAAATCCACAGAAATACAGGTTAGTGTGTAGTGAATTCAATCCCCGAGACATTGCTTCTGCTGCTAGAATGAATAGGGTTGGTGACAAAGGGTCACCCTGCTTAACTCCCCTCGAAGATTTGAAGAAATCATTTAGCTGCCCATTTATAAGAATAGAGTACCAATTATTCCCAATCAAATCAAAGATCAATCCAATAAACGCTTCAGGAAATCCCATCTTCCTTAGCATTTTGGTTAGGAATAGCCATGATAGCCTATCGTAAGCTTTTGTCATGTCGAGCTTAATCACAACATTTGGGCATGCTTTTGTTCTCAACCTGATATCCGTAATGATTTCTTGAGTTAACAGTATATTCTCAACTATACTTCTTCCCTTCACAAAACCTGCATGTTCCTGTGAGATTAAGTTTGGTAAAAATTCAACCAACCTTTCATGAATAACCCTCGAGAAAATCTTGTTAACAAAGTTGCTGAGACTGATTGGTCTCATGTCTGCAAAGGTCATAACTTCTTTTTTCTTTGGTAATAAAATCAGGTTTGTGTGTGTCACACTCTTTGGCAATTGCTGACCGCAAAAGAAAGCCTTGACCATGCCTACTACATCTTATTCAATGATTTCCCAGCATGTTTGGTAAAAGGCTCCAGTGAAGCCATCCGGTCCACCTGCTGAGTCCCCATTCAACCCCATAACTGCTCTCTTCACTTCTTCATTGGAAGGCGAAGCCATCAATCTTTCATGTTGATCACTATCTACCATTGAAGGTACATGATTCAGAATATCAAAAGCATTAGGAACTTCACTCTCAGTAAATTGATCCTTGTAGAACTTTAGTGCTTCTTCTGCTATTAAGTGATCTTCTTCAATCCAGTTACCAAGGCTATTCTGGATCCTTGATAATTTCAGTCTCTTCATTCTCCCATTAACTTGAGCATGGAAGAATTTAGTGTTTCTATCGCCATCTTTGAACCATAACATGCCAGCTTTTTGTCTCCAGAATTCTTCTTCTAATGCAAGATATTTAATCATTTCAGCTTGTACCTGTTGTAATCTTTGTCTGTTCATCTGTGTAGGATTGACTTCAAATTGCCTTTCATGAACCAAGACCACCTCCTCCAGGCTTGTAATCTTCTGGAATATATCCCCATATGTAGCTCTGCTCCAGGTAGATAGTACTTTCTTAAGCTTCTTTAACTTGTAGTTAAAAATGCAGAAATGTTAGTATAAAACAATATTCAAATTACAGTATATAGCTAGTATTCAAATTAAAACAGTGCAAGTCTATGCAAGAACTAAGAGAAGACTTGCACTTCTTGCATAGACTTGCACTGTCTTCTCTTGGTTCTTGTCTGTTTTATATAGCTAGTATAAAACAGTTTTTCTCTTGGTTGCACAAATTAAGTATTCAAATTACAGTATATAGCTAGTATAAAACAGTTTACCTATTGATTTAGCTAAATGGGAACAATCTAGTTATTACTCAATGTTCCCAGACTTTTGATGTTACTCTTAATTAATGTAAAATTGTTAAAATTTGACTAATTTGCCATTTTTTAACATTAAGCTTTTCTAATTAATTATGAACATCTTAAGTTCATATGCTGAGTGATAAAATTGTTTCGATAGTATTTTGTCTATCTAAAGGATACTCATTTTAGCAAAATAATATTTTTGAAAAAATACTTAAATTGGAACAAATGTAGTGTAAATAATACTTAGATAGCTAGATACTATATGTTGGTATTTGCCATCGAAACACATACCAATTGCAAAAACGATAATGTAACTCAACAACGAAGGAATATCACTTCACTACTTCAGCAAAAATAAAATTACTAACCATAGAAAAGTAAATAAGTTGATGCAATCGTACAACAAACTTCATCCTTAGAACATGACTCTGCCTCAGCTGCATATATCGGATAAAGAAAAAGGAGTTTACAAAAAAATAGAGAAAGAGACAACCGGCAAATCACCCTGCTTTATATTGAGTTTTGAAGAAAATTTTAAAACTCGTCATATCCTACACCGCAGCCGCATAAACTACAAACCCCGCATATGTTTAAATCCGCCACGTCCTATCCATCCTAGCTAGGTATTCTTCTAAACTTGTCATTCATATTTTTGAATCTCATTTTGGATTTCGATCTTCCAAGGATAGGAACTTTTGATCCCAATTCCCTAGTGACTGAAAGTTACTTCTAAGCAGGATCTTCCGCTACTGTTTTTCTTTTTAACTAGTAAATATAGATCTACCTAAATATGTCAAACTATCGGTCTGCTCACTTCAACGCTGATATTGAGTTTGACCACCATGCCGAAAACCACAACGTAGCACCTAGCAATAACATCCCTCATGCTAATCCTAATAGAGTCCCAGTTACGGACTCTATCGATGCCACCTCACATGTGGCCATTGACGCAACCTACCGACAACCCTGAGAACAACGTTCACAGAGGAGGTACACCCGAAGTGTTACATCTCGCGTTTTTCGTACGTTAAACTTTCGTCTTTAGTTAATTGACATAAACTCGGGGATGAGATTATCTTGAGGTTAGCATATTTACGCTCTTTATACCAAGCAATAAGTAAGTGCCATGAAGGAAAGGGTATACGAATTAAAGAAAATGAGTTTCGTTGAATGTACGGTCCGGGCTATAATACCCAATACTTATGGACTAGTATCATATAAGGTACCATATGACCGTGATAATATGATGTATCAAACATATTAAAAATAAGTAGAATTTTAAGTAATTTGAGATAATTTTTAATAATGCGAGTAATTAAATAATTACCGAGTAGCGATATATTACCTAGTTAATTAATTAATTATTTGTTGGATAAAATTAAACCAACATGTGGCAGCAAAGCCACATACCTATACATATGACACTTAGTTATTATAGGTTATGTGGCAAACTAATGTATTAACTACAAGCACTACCTGATCCTACGTGTAAAAAGACATAGCAGGTGGCAAACGTAGTTAAATATAAAACACTACAAAATGTGTTAATTGTATTAAAGGTAAAACACTACAAAACATTTCATTTCTAAGGCATTACAGAAGGATGAAAATGTTATGCACTTAAAATCTCTTTCAAACTTCATTCTCAAAAACATTGAGATCAGATCCTACGAGTTTCAACGGTTCCAAGAAGATTCAACAACGTAAAATTTTGTGGTTCTAAGGGAGTACAATGTATTTCTTTTTCAATAACATCACACGAATTTTTCCCTACTTCAGGTATGTTAAGGCTAAGCTCTTCCTTCATTTTTCATGGTCTCGTCATTACACAAGTTTAATAACAAGGCACAAAGAAAAATTCATATCCCTGAATTTACGTATATTTTCCTAGTTTTGTAAGTTACAATATTCTCATTATCGGGACTTCATATACAATTGAGTATTTCCTTCTTCCAATCAAGAGAGCAGAGAATCTATATATACAGTATTATAGTATTTTTATTACTATCGAGCTATAATCGATGGGTAGGCCTCTATTGGGCAACCTCTGATAAGATAGTAAGTTATATGCCGATCCTACTATGGCCGAGCGCCTATGAGCGAGCCTAGTTGGTCGAGATACAGAGCTTAGTATGGCCGAGAGCCTATGAGCGAGCCTACTACGACAGAGAAGATATATATATATATATATATATATATATATATATAAGGCCGGACAACTATTTTACTAATTATATTAAGAGAATAGAGTCAGTATCAGCAGATAAGCATATCTTCAGATTTTCTTTGACTCCCAGTTGCTTTCAGTTATTATGTTATCAGTTCAGTTTCAGCTTTCAGTATATTGCCTTACATACTCGGTACATTATTTCGTACTGACGTCCCTTTCTGGGGACGCTGCATTTCATGCGTGCAGGTCTAGACAGACAGACGGGTAGACCTCCCCAGTAGGTGTTTGCCCGAGTTCAACTATATCGGTAAGCTCCCCGTCCTTTGGAGTTGCCGGGTCTAGATGTTTGGTATACATCTTGTGTATATATATATATATAGATAGGCTATGGGTAGATCAGGGCCCTGTTCCGATCATAGTACATCTACTAGTAGAGGCTTGTAGACATATCCTATTAGTTAGTGCAGTATGATGGGCTTGTAGGCCCTGTACGTATATTTTGTTGGCTTGTCAGTTGTAGTAATTATGATGGCTTTGCCGGCCCAGCTTTATGTTGACATTTAGTCGGCATTAGTCTCTATCCAGTTTTATATTTAGCATCGCACATTATCTTGTAATGTGGCCCATGGCTAAAGTATGACATTACATGTTTAGAGTCTCTTAGTCGCAAGTGGTATGCAAGGATTGGTGAGGCACTAGGTGCCGGTCTCTCCCCCAGGCTCGGGGCGTGACAAAAGTGGTATCAGAGCAGTTTTGTCCTAGGGAGTCTACAAGTCGTATCTAGTAGGGTCTTGTTTATAGAGGTAGGGTGCACCATATTATATAAGCAGGGGAATACAAGGCATTTAGGAGTTGATTACCCTTCTTTCAAATCTAAATCGTGTTATAGCACTAAGTTATAGGAAATTTGAGTTAAACATACATGTTGACGTTTGCATGCAGAGATGACGGTAACTAGGAAAACTACGGCTAGCCAGGGGAGAGAAACAACAGTAGGTAAGGGGACTAGCAGGGTACCCCAAGCAGATGGGACCCAATCAGAGTCCCAGGGAGAGACCCCTACCCAGTAATTACCGGCTACTCCGCTACCTGAGGAGATTCCTAGGGAGACTGCACATCTAGTTCCCCCTCCACTTTTATCAGATCAGGACTTGAGGAGTGCGGTGAATTTGTTGGCACAATTGGTAGCTACCCAGCAACAGGCTAGAGCATCCACTAGTGCAGGACCTTCTGAGGGACCTGGGAGTTCAAAGGTCTGAGAGTTTATTGCTTTGAATCCCCCAAAGTTCATAGGGACATATCAGAGGGAGGACCCGCAGGATTTCATAGATCAGCTACATAAGATTTTTCGGGTTATGCATGCCACGGAGAAAGAGGCAGTTGAGTTAGCAACTTTTCGACTCCAAGATATAGCCATCCTTTAGTACGAGGGATGGGAAAGGTCCAAGGGATGTGATGCACCTCCTGCTATTTAGGAGAATTTTTCAGATGCCTTCCTTGACCAGTACTTACTGCAGGAGACCCAACAGGCCCGAGTTGATCAGCTTCTAGCCCTCAAGTAGGGCAATATGAGTGTTCGAGAGTATAGTCTCCGCTTTGACTCATTGGCCAGATATGCACCATCCATAGTTGCTACTATGCAGGATAGGATCCACAAGTTTATAGCAGGGTTAGCCCTAGAATTGACCGAGGCATGTGCCACCGATGCATTACATGATAGTACGGATATCTCCCAAATTCAAGCATTTGGCAAGAATATAGAAAGGAGTAGGCGTCGATAGCAGGGTACAAAGAGGATTAAGTCAGGGCAGCGTAAGAGGATGAGATTTGCTAGGTCTCAATAGCAGTCTCAGGGTACTTACATGCCCCAATACTTCAAATGTCCACCTAGACCTCCGCCACCTCAGTCACAAGGTTATAGGTATGACTATTATACTCAGTCAAGACCAGGTGAGAGCTCCTAGGCGTCAAGTTTGTAGCAATAATGAGGTTCGTGGCAGATATGGCCATTCCCGCCACGGTGTGCCATCTGCGGTAGAGGACACTTGGGCTAATGCTGAGCCGGTTCCGATGCTTGCTATACATGTGGACGTCCGGGGCATATGATGTGAGATTGCCCAAATAGAGATTCTAGGGGTATGGTACAACCAGCAAATTCAGCAACAGGATCAGCTATGTCCGTGCATCCTTCAGGGTGCGAGTCCCAGTCTTCGGCTGGTAGAGGTTGAGGCAGAGGTAGAGGGTCCAGTTCAGATGGTAACTAGAATCGTATCTATGCGCTAGCAGGTTAACAGGACCAAGAGTCCTCACCAGACGTTGTGGCATGTATGTTGACCATTTATTCCCTCGATGTTTATGCCTTGATAGAACCAGGATCTACTTTATCATGTATTAAGCCATTTGTCGCAAGGAAATTTGGTATAGTGCCTGAAATACTAAGGGATCCTTTGGTGGTATCTACACCGATCGGAGAATCGATTATTGCTAGATGGGTTTACCGAGGTTGTTCGGTATCAATTTGTGGTCGTCAGACCTCAACTGACCTAGTTGAGCTAGAGATGTTGGATTTTGATGCTATCATGGGCATGGACTGGTTGGCAGCTTGTTATGCCACAGTTGATTGTCGATTAAAGATAGCCAGATTTCATTTTTCGGGTGGGCCAGTCCTTGAATGGGTAGATAATACAGCGACACCCAGAGGTAGGTTTGTTTCCTATCTGAAGGCGAGGAAAATGGTCGCAAAAGGGTGCATTTATCATATTGTGCAAGTTAAAGATGCAGATGTTGAGATACCTACACTTCAGTCTATTCCAGTAGTAAAGGAGTACGCAGATATATTTTCAGATGAACTTCCAGGTATTCCTCCAGAGCGAGAGATTGATTTTGGCATTGATTTGCTTCCGAGAACGCAACCAATATCCATTCTTCCATATAGAATGGCACCTGCTGAATTGAAGGAGTTGAAGGAGCAGTTAAAAGATTTACTGGAGAAAAGTTTCATCAGACCCAGTACCTCACTTTAGGGTGCACCAGTACTATTTGTATGGAAGAAAGATGGCTCACTGAGGATGTGTATCAATTATAGGCAACTAAACAAGGTAACTATAAAGAATAAGTATCCACTTCCAAGGATAGACGAATTGTTTGATCAGTTGTGGGGAGCTAGATACTTTCAAAAATAGATTTGAGGCCGGGGTACCCCTAGGTCAGAGTTTGAGAGAAAGATATTCCCAAGACAGCCTTCAGGACCCGATATGTCCACTTCGAGTTCCTTGTCATGCCTTCGGGTTGGCGAATGCGCTTGCCATATTTATGGACTTGATGAATAGCCTATTGCGTCTATATTTGGATATGTTCATAATTGTCTTTATTGATGATATTATGGTTTATTCACGTTCAGACGATGAGAATATGGACCACCTGCGAGCGGTACTCCAAACCCTTCATGATAATAAATTGTATGCTAAGTTTTTTAAGTCTTGAGTTCTGGTTGAAGTCTATAGATTTCATGAGGCACATTGTATCCGACAGAGGTATAAAGGTAGACACTCAGAAGATTGAGGCTGTGAAATCATGGCCTAGACCTACTACTCCGACAGAGATTCATAGCTTTCTAGGCTTAGCAGGATACTACTGGAGGTTCGTAGAGGGTTTTTCTTCTCTTTCAGAACCATTGACAAAGCTGACATAGAAAGCGACTAAGTTTTAGTGGACAGAGGCCTGTGAGCAGAGTTTCCAATAGCTTAAGAACAGGTTAACCTTAGCGCCAGTTCTAGCACTTCCAGAGGGTCCAGATGGTTATGCCATGTATTGTGATGCCTCAGGTATCTGGTTAGGATGTGTCCTAATACAACATGGGAAAGTAATTGCGTATGCTTTAAGGCAGTTAAGGAAGCATGAGCGGAATTATCAGACCCACAACCTCGAATTAGTTGTGGTTGTCCATGTAGTTAAGATATGGCGGCATTATTTATATGGTGTTCATGTTGATGTGTACAGATCATAAAAGCCTGCAATATATCTTCAAGCAAAAATAATTGAACTTGCGACAGAGGCGGTGGCTTGAGTTATTAAAAGATTACGATGTTAACATTCTCTACCATCCAGGAAAAGCTAATGTTGTAGCAGATGCCTTAAGTCGCCGATCTATGTGTAGTTTAGCACATGTAGAGACTGAAAAAAGACAATTAACCAAAGAGACTCATCAATTGGCTTGTTTGGGGGTTCGGTTAGTAGACTCTGTCAATGGAGGAGTTGTACTCTAAAATACCGCAAAATCATCTCTCATAACTGAAGTAAAGGAGAGGCAATATGAGGACCCAGAGATGGTCGAGTTGAGATAGCGGGCTCCACAGCAGAGGAAGCCATGGTTAGAACTCAAACGAGATGGGGTTCTCATATACATGGGTCGTTTATGTGTTCCAAATGTAATAGGGCTACGAGACAGGATTATGTTAGAGGCACATTATTCGTGGTACTCCATTCACCCTAGGTCGACGAATATGTATCATGACATTAAGGAGGTGTATTGGTGGAACGATATGAAGAAGAACATTACTGAGTATGTCGCCCAGTGTCCTAGTTTCCAGTAGGTGAAGATAGAGCACCAGAAGCCCGGAGGGCTAATGTAGACTATAGAGATCCCGACATGGAAATGGGAGGCGATAAACATGGACTTTATCACGGGTTTACCTCGTTCTCATCGTAAGTTCCATTCCATATAGGTGATAGTCGATAGGCTCACAAAATTAGCTCATTTCCTACCGGTTATATCTATATATACAATAGAAGATTATGCAAAGTTATATATTAAAGAGATAGTGTGACTACATGGAGTGCTAATATCTATTATATCTGACCGTGGGGCCCATATTACAGCACATTTTTGGATGTCAGTTTAGAAAGGTCTAGGGACTCAGGTGAATCTCAGTACAACTTTTCATCCACAAACTGATGGACAAGACGAGCGCACAATTCAGACGCTCGAGGATATGTTACGAGCATGTGTGCTAGATTTTAAAAAAAGTTAGGATGAACATCTACCTCTTATCGAGTTTGCATATAATAACAGTTATCACTCCAGTATCCAGATGGCTCCGTACGAGGCTTTGTATGGGCACAAGTGCAGATCTTCTATATGGTTGTTTGATGTTGGAGAATCTGGGTTACATGGGCCAGACTTGGTTCAGCAGGCCATAGAAAAAGTAAAGCTTATTCGGGAGCGATTGTTGATAGCTCAAAGTCGTCAGAAGTCATATTCTGACGTGCGATGACGAGATTTAGAGTTCGGGGTAAATGACTGAGTATTCTTAAAGGTGTCACCTATGAAAGGTGTGATGAGGTTTGGCAAGAAAGGCAAACTTAGCCCACAATATATTGGACCTTATAGGATCATTCAGAGAGTAGGCCAAATAGCTTATGAGTTAGAATTGCCCTCGGAATTGGAGTCTGTTCATCTGGTTTTTCACGTATCTATTTTACGAAAGTGCCTTGGCGATCCTACCCGAGTGGTTCCCATGGATGATGTACAGATTACAGAGGACTGGTCATACAAGGAAATTTCGGTTGCCATCCTAGACCGACAAATCCACAAGCTACATAATAATGAGGTAGCCTCCGTGAAGGTTCTATGGAGGAGAAAGAATGTGGAAGAGATGACATGGGTAGTGGAGGAAGAAATAAAAACTAAATAATAGGAGTTATGGCTCGAGGTGGGATACCTCAACACAGCCCAATTCAGTCCAGTAGGTTCTCTGATAAGCTTTTATTTTTAACTTCCCGAATTCATAATAAACAACTGTGTAAGGCCAAGTGTGGCATATATAGCATGTTTTTGGCTGCACATAGGGTGGTTTTAGTCTAATGTATGGAGGAGACTCTGGAAAAACATTTCCAAGGTATCTAAGAGTAAACATTCGAGGACGAATATTTCTAAGGGGGGAAGGATGTTACATCTCGCGTTTTTCGTATGTTAAACTTTCATCTTCAGTTAATTGACATAAACTCGGGGATGAGATTATCTTGAGGTTAGCATATTTATGCTCTTTATACCAAGCAATAAGTAAGTTCCATAAAGGAAAGGGTACAAAAATTAAAGAAAATGAGTTCCGTTGAAGGTACGGTCCGAGATATAATACCTAATACTTATGGAATAGTATCATACAAGGTACCATATGACCATGATAATATGATGTATAAAGTATATTAAAAATAAGTAAAATTTTAAGTAATTTGATATAATTTTTAATTAGGCGGGTAACTGGTTAATTACCAAATAGCGGGATATTACCTAGTTAATTAATTAATTATTTAGTGGATAAAATGAAACCACTATGCGGCAGCAAGCCACATACCTATACATATGACTCTTAGTCATTATAGGGTATGTGGAAAACTAATGTATTAACTACAAGCACTACCTGATCCTACGTGTAAAAAGACATAGAAGTTGGCAAACGTAGTTAAATGTAAAGCACTACAAAATGTATTAATTGTATTAAAGGTAAAACACAACAAAACATTTCATTTGTAAGTTACAATATTCTCATTATCGGGACATCATATACAATTGAGTATTTCATTCTTCCAGTCAAGAGATCAGAGAATCTATATATACAATATTATAGTATTTTCATTACCATCAAGCTATAATCGATGGACAGGCTCCTATTGGGCAAACTCTGATCAGATGGTAAGTTATATGCCGATCCTACTGTGGCCTAGCGCCTATAAGCGAGCCCAGTTGGTCGATATACAGAGCCTTCTATGGCCGAGCGCCTATGAGCGAGCCTAGTTGGTCGAGATACAGAGCTTAGTATGGCCGAGAGCCTATGAGCGAGCCTACTACGACAGAGAAGATATATATATATATATATATATATATATATATATAAGGCCGGACAACTATTTTACTAATTATATTAAGAGAATAGAGTCAGTATCAGCAGATAAGCATATCTTCAGATTTTCTTTGACTCCCAGTTGCTTTCAATTATTATGTTATCAGTTCAGTTTCAGCTTTCAGCTTTCACTATATTGTCTTACATACTCGGTTCATTATTTTGTACTGATGTCTCTTTCTGGGGACGCTGCATTTCATGTGTGCAGGTCCAGACAGATAGACGGGTAGACCTCCTCAGTAGGTGTTTTCCCGAGTTCAGCTTTATCAGTAAGCTCCCCATCCTTCGGAGTTGCTGGGTCTAGAAGTTTAGTGTACATCTTGTGTATATATATAGATAGGTTATGGGTAGGACGGAGCCCTGTTCCAATCATAGTATATCTACTAGTAGAGGCTTGTAGACATATCCTATCAGTTAGTGCAGTATGATGGGCTTGTAGGCCCTATACGTATATTTTGTTGGCTTGTCAGTTTTAGAAATTATAACGGCCTTGCGGGCCTAGCTTTATGTTGACATTTAGTCTGTGTTAGTCTCTATTCAGTTTTATATGTCGCATTGCACATTATCTTGTAATGTGGCCAATGGCCAAAGTATGACATTACATATTCAAATCTCTTAGTCGCAAGTGGTATGCAAGGATAGGTGAGGCATTGGGTGCCGATCTTGCCCCTAGGTTTGGGGTGTGACACGAAGGTCAGGGCGACGTGATCAATATGAGTGTAATATTCGAAATGTTGCAAGCCCAACAGGCGGCGATAGCACAACTATAGAATCAAAGTTGCGATCCCAGCAGCATTAAGCCCGAACAATCCCGGGAAAACACGCGAAAGAATGAGCAAGTCACGGAAAGGCAGGGTGAAGCTGAGATCGGGACCAACCCTGAAATAATTAATATGCTTGAGGATTTGACAAAGCGGGTGGAATCGGGGGAGAAGAAAATTGAGGTCAACAACAAAAAATTGGAGACCTACAACTCGAGAGTTGATCAAATCCAAGAAGCGCCCCCGATATTGAAGGGCCTGGACTCCAAGAAATTTTTCCAAAAACCTTCCCTCCAAGCGCGACTCCAAAGCCAATCTCGAAGAAGTTTCGTATGCTCGGTATTCCGAAGTATAACGGTACCATGTATCTAATTTTCTTCAAGGGAAATGACTTAGAAGATGACGAAATCGAGTCGGTCTTGCAGAAAAAGTTCGGAGAAACCCTGTCAAAGGGAGCAATGATATGGTATCATAATTTACCCCAAATTCTATTGATTCGTTTGCTATTCTTGTAGATTCCCTTTTAAAAGCATATGTTGGATCTATCAAGGTCAAAACTAGAAATCAGATCTATTCAAGGTAAAACAAAGAGATAATAGGATGTTTAGGGAATTAGTGTTGAGATTCCAAATGAAATGGATGGATTTGCCTCCGTTTGCGGATGATTGGGCTGTTCAGGCGTTTACTCAAGGACTCAACCCCCGAAGATTCTTAGCTTCGTATCAGTTGAAGCAGAATCTGATAGAATACCCGACGGTAACTTGGGCCGATGTCCATAACATTTACCAGTCAAAAATCAGAGTCGAGGACGATCAACTTGGGGCCCCTCTAGGTCCGTTTATCCCATCAGTGTCAATAATAGATCTAACATAGTATCGATGATGAACCAAGATCGAACAGAGATTATTATCAACCATATAACGAATATTGAAGGGGTAACGGGGAGGAATGAAACGAGAAATGATCGAGGTCATAGAAGCAAGGTACTTATGAGTAAAAACAATTTCGACAGACCACTCATGGCTAGGGTGCACCAAAGTTTTCGGAATATAATTTTAGCATTGATGCTGCCAGCATCGTATCCGTCATCGGGCACATCAAAGACACCAAGTGACCTCGACCGTTACAGTCCGACCCTACCCAAAAGGACCCTAACCTAATGTGTAAGTATCATGGCTCTCATGGCCATAGAATCGAGATTTTCCAATAGTTAAGAGAAGAAGTGGCACGATTATTCAATAACGGGAAGCTCTGGGAATTTCTGAGTGATCGAGCCAAAAATCACTTCAGGAACATGGCCTCTAACAAGCAAACCAAATAGGAGGAACCACATCAAGTCATCAACATGATCGTTGGAGGGGTCGATGTCCTCAAGGGCCCATACTAAAGCGCACTAAGGTGTCTATCACAAGCTAAAAACGAACCTGAGATTACGTCTCTGAAGGAACCATTTCGTTCAACAATGAAGATGTTGATTTGTACAACCGCACAATGATGCACTCGTAATATCCATACTTATAAATAAATTTCAAGTTAAGCGTGTGTTGATTGATCCAGGTAGCTCGGCCAACATCATCAGATCGAGGGTCGTAGAACTATTATGTCTTTATGATCATATAGTGCAAGATGTTCAGGTGTTGAACGGGTTCAACATGGTATGCGAAACTACTAAAAGGGAGATAACCCTACCGGTGAACACTGCCAAAACCTCTTAGGAAATGAAATTCTACGTGATCGAAGGGGATATGAGATATAATGCTCTATTCGGAAGGTCGTGGGTTCACAGCATGAAGGCAATACCTTCGACCCTGCACCAGGTATTAAAATTCCCTACACCGGGGGAATCAATATAATGTATGGAGAACAACCGGCCGCTAAGGAAATGTTCGCAGTCGATGATCGTCGGTGCAGGTCCCGATCGGATCGAAGGGACAAGAAGTTGATAAAGAAGATGATTACGGAGTTCCTATATCATTCATAGCTCCTGACTATACCGATGCCGCCAAATCTACAATCGAAGAGCTAGAGCAGGTTACATTGACCGAACACCTATCGGATCGAAAGGTCTACATGGGCACGGGGTTGACCCCCGAGCTCAGAAAAGAACACATTAGTTTTCTTAAAACTAACATATCTCGTTTTTTCCTGGTCCCATGTTGATATGACAGGGATCCCGCCGGAGATAACCACTCACAAGCTGAGTTTGGATCCGAAGTTCCTCCCGGTTAAATAGAAATGGAGGCCCCAATCCAAAGTCAAGCACGCCTTCATCAAAGATGAGGTGTCTAAACTCCTTAAAATAGGTTCCATTCGGGATGTTAAATACCTGAACTGATAAGATAACATAGTGGTAGTGCCTAAAAGGGAAATAAATTAAGAATGTGTGTAGATTATAAAGACTTGAACAAAGCATGACCCAAAGACTCTTTCCCGTTGCCTAACATCGATCGCATGGTATGCGATGGCTGGTCACAAGACACCCAGTTTTCTCAACGCCTATTCATGATACAACTAAATCCAGATGGACCTGGGCGAGAAAAGACCTCCCTTATCACTAAGTTATGCACCTACTGTTACAAAGTAATGTTGTTCGGCCTAAAGAACGCTGATGCCCTTTATCAATGCCTAGTAAATCGGATGTTCGAAGAGCAAATAGGAAAATTAATGGAAGTTTATATTGATGACGTGTTAGTTAAGTCCCTGCAAGCAGAGGACCATTTTAAATATTTGCAGTAATCCTTCGACATATTGAAGAAATACAATATGAAGTTGAACCCCAAGAAGTGCGCATTCAGGGTCGGATATGGAAAGTTCCTTGGATTCATAGTGTCCAACCAAATGGGTTGAGATTAACCCCGATAAAATAAAAGCCATAGAAGACATAACCGTAGTGGACAGTGTTAAGGTCGTTCAGAGGCTAGCCGGGCATATAGCCGTCCTGGGCCGGTTAATATTGAGGTCCTCGGACAAGACCCATTTATTCTTCTCACTATTGAAGAAGAAGAATAACTTCTCTTGGACCCTAGAGTGCAAGCAATCCTTGGGAGAACTCAAATGGTACCTTTCGAATCCACCCCTACTCCATACTCCGAAGGCGGATGAACAATTGTACCTTTATTTGGCAGTATTCAAAGTGGCAGTAAGTGGGGTCCTAGTACGGGAAAAGGAAGGTATGCAATTTTCTGTTTATTTTGTTAGTAGAACTCTAGGCGAGGCCGAAATAAGGAATCCTCACCTAGAGAAATTGGCGCTCACTTTGCTAAGCGCCTCCAAAAAGCTGAAACTGTACTTTCATTATCACCCCATATGCGTCGTATCTTCTTACCCATTAAGGGACATAATGCATAACACGAGTTCTCAGGCTGGTTGGCTAAATGGGCCGAAGAAATTAGTAGGTACAATATCAAATATTGACCCCGAACCCCCATTAAATCACAAGTTTTGGCAGACTTTGTGGGCGACTTTATGTCGGCCTTAATACCTGAAGTCGAAAAGGAATTGTTATTAACCTCGGGCACATCCTTGGGAATATGGACCCTCTTTACAAATGGTGCCTCAGACGCAAAGGGGTCCAGACTTGTCATCGTGTTGAAGCCGCCTATGGGCAACGTAGTCAGGCAATCTATTCGAACTCTGAAATTGACTAACAATGAGGCCGACTATGAGTCCATGATTGCAAGTCTCAAATTGGCTAAAAGACATGGGGTTAAGGTGGTCAAAGCTAAATGCAATTCCCTCCTTGTGGTAAATCAAGTTAATGGGATGTTCGAAGTAAAAGGGGAATGAATGCGAAGGTATTTAGACAAATTGCATGTGGCGCTACATAAATTCAAGGAATGGATACTTTGGCACGTGCCTCGAGATCAAAATAGTGGGGCCGATGGTCTGGCTAACATGGGGTCATCGGTTGATGATGACGACTTCAACTTACGAATGATCGTGCAGCTCATGAAATTGGTAGTGGAAGAAGGCCACGCCAAAACAAATTCAATAAGTTTAACTTGGGATTGGAGAAACATGTACATAAACTACACGAAGTCTGGGAAGTTACCCTCGGACCCTAAAGAATCGAGATCTCTACGCGTGAAGGTGGCCAAGTTTAGCCTGTCCGAAGGTACTTTGTACAGAAAAACATTCGATGCCCCGCTCGCCACATGCTTAGGCCGGGAGACACCGAATACATCTCGAGAGAAGTTTACGAGGGCACCTACGAAAACCACTCGGGGGCAGAATCTTTGGTTTGGAAGATAATCAGGACCCACTACTATTGGATCGATATGGAGAAAGATGCAAACGACTTTGTACGAAGATGCGATAGCTGCCAGAGACAAGCACAAATGATCTATCAACCCGGAGAATTGCTGCATTCGGTCTTGTCCCCATGGCCATTCATGAAAGTGGGGAATGGACATCGTCATCCCCCTGCCATGGGCACCTGGTAAAGCTCAATTCATATTGTTTATGACTAACTATTTTTTTAAATGGGTCGAAGCTCAAATGTTCGAGAAAGTCCGAGAAAAAGAAGTCATTGATTTTATTTGGGACCACATTATATGCCGGTTCGGGTTACCGGCCTAGATCATGTGTGATAATAGGAAGCAATTCATCAGTAGCAAGGTAAGCAAGTTTTTTAAGACCACAAGTTCAAAAAGATTTTATCCATCCCTTATCACCCTAGCGGGAATGGACAAGCAGAGTCTACAACCAAGACCATACTCCAAA